GGCCTTCAGCCTGTAGGCCAGCTAACTCAGGACATAAGCCCCGTTCTCCCAGGAATGGCTGAGCCTGCAGGGGTGGGTGCTGCTGCCTGTCCCTGTGGGTTGAGGCAGGAGTGGGACCCCTGGGAATAGGAAGGCTGAGCACTCTCGCAGGTCGCTGGAGGCAGACCCAGTGAGTGACGCCCCTGCTTCCAACAAACCCAGAAGCTGCCCCCTTCCCAAGCAGACACATCCGCTGGGCATTTGCTGTCTGGCCTGTCTTCCTAGACTGTACTGTGCCCATGAATCACTGGGGATCCTGTCCAAAGGCACGCGGTGACTCAGCGGGTCGGGGAGGGGCTGGATTCCAGATGGCTAACAAGCCACAGGCAATGATGCTGCTAGTCCACCCAGCCCAGAGCATCCACACAGGCCTCAGGGCTGCGTGTGCGCCATGAGATCTAAGAGCACAGGCCTGGGTGTGAAGCTGTGATGGAGGACTCTCTTGTGGATTTAATGTCAGCTCCCCAGAGCAGCAGGTCCAGGCAGCGTAGAGCCACAAGGGTCTGGCCAGCACTTCCTGCAAAAGCCAAGGGAAGGACTTGTGTGGGACCCGACACACAGCTGCTCAGCGCCTCGCCTAAGGCCTGCAGCGGCAGATCCTGTGTGTGGGGAGAGTGGAGGCGGTGCAGAAAGATGTGATGGCCAGAGAGGCGGGCACAGGGGGCCCTGCATGCCTTGGAGCTCCTGAGGCTGCATCTGAGACCCAGCCGGTGCCCAATCTGCAGGCCAGTGCCGCTGTGGGCTCGGCGACGCTGCCTGTCTGCCCTGCTGCACAGCCTCAGCCTCTCCAGTACATTCTCAGTGTGCAGTGCAGCTGGATCTCTTGGCCGCAGTTTGTGCTGGGCCACGGTGCCTTTACCAGCCCATTGGAAGCCTGGCCACCTGGCAGGACACCTCAGGTCCTGGGAACAGACCCCATTGACCCAGCATCCTCAGGCTACAGCTTTGGACACCAAATGGACATCCAGACTCATGCTTCCTCTCTCTCCCACAGGAACACGTGTTGAGGAGAACGTGTGCCCACCGTGCCTCCTCTCCAGCCCATGCAGCACTGCAAGGCTGGTGTTAGGATGATGTGTTCATGCTCACTTTGCAGAAGTTTCCCACTTTGTGTACCTGGGGGTCCCTGACTGCTCCTGACCCTCACCAAAACCTCCCATGGCCCAGGGGTTGTTACACAGGGAAACTGAGGCAGCCTGGGGCTTCCAGAGTTTTTTCTCCAGTAGCCACAGAGCTTCCTGCAGGCCCTGGCCCATGCCTAGCCCATTTGTTATTAAACAGATGATTATGTCCATTAATATTCTGTTGGTCGTGCCAGGGGATGTGGCGGTCCACTTGAGTAAACTCTCTGGATAATTCAAGCCCCATCAGGCCATGGCTCTTCAAACATAGGTAAATGTGTTTATTCCGTGACAATGCTTGAGTGCCAGTTCCAGGCCAGGCACTGTGGGAGTCTTGAGACTGACTTTGGAGTACACCCTCACCAAGAATCTGGCAGAGCTGGGGGAGATGGTGGCCAGTGTCAGTGGAATCCTGTGTCCACAGCCGCAGACCTCCCTCGGCAGGTGGCCCCCAGGCTGCCCCCTCTGGCTCCCCTGGGCTATCTCTGCAGCCATCCCTTCACTAGCAGAATAAACAGCGCCATGATAAATGTCATGATTTACTCAACTAATGATCAAAATCATTGTTTTCCCAGACCCCAGGGCAATAAAGTGCAATCACAGGGTGATTTACTCCAGGCAGGGAAGCGGTGGGGTGGGCAGGTGTGGTGTGATGTTGGGGGCAGGCCAAGCCAAGCATCCAAATGGAGGGCTGGGAGCCGGGGTGGGGAGGGGTCATCCTGACAGACCACACCCAGCGGGCCCTTCCAAGCACTGCTCCCACACCCATGCAGGACACACCATCAGTCTAGGGCAGGCATCTCACGTGGGACATTTTTCCTTCCGAAATAACAAGGAATCCAGTCCTGATGGCTCCAAAGCACTTGGGGGAAAGAGGGCCCCAGAGCACCTGGTCCCAAGATCACCCTGGTCTGGATGCCCAGGCTCTGAGTACTAAAACCAAGCTGGGTTCCCTCAAATTCTCATCATCTTTGCTAAAATGCCATAACTTGTTCTCTACTGTAAATGGATTCTTTGTTAATGACAACAAAATCCAATTTCTCTGATTCAGAAAATCTGGTTACCAGTGCAAAGGAGAACAATTAGGAGTCAAATTCAGGACCAGGGTGAGATCGTGCCCATGTCTGCCTAGGACAGCCCTGGCTCCACACTGAGCATGGAAGCTGGAGCTTGTCCTCCAGTATCTTCCAGGGGTGGATTCTGCCACCCCAGGCCCTCCAGAGCCTGGGCCAGGTGGAGGGCAGCAGGGCCACCTGTGGTGTCAGTTCTAGGAGGCCCCTCTGCAGCTAGTCACGGAGCACACACTGAGCCATTTCCATCCCCGAGTTCACCTGCTGTATTGTGATCAGCTGATAAGGCACGTCTGGAGGAAGTCAGGGAACACCCCAGGGGAGGGGAGACCTGCCACTGGGTGTCTCTCCCCAGCAGCTTGTGTACCTCCAGGAAAGCCAAGAAATACGGCGAAACAGCTCCCAGCGTTCCAGGACACAAGTGGAAAATTCCACTCAGCCTGCCCAGGAGGCAACCTCGGCTTCCCTGCCCAGAAACTGTAGCTAAAGAGCCCAGTGCACCTTGTCATTGACCCCGGGTGAAGGTGGCTCAGCCTGAGCCCTCAGGAGCCACTTCCTCCCGTCCAATCCAGCCCGCAGCTGCAAGCACAACTACACAACAGGAATGGCAGCTCTGGCTGTTTGATGGCAGGAAGAAAGCCCAGGGGCCATCACGCAGCAGGGTATTGGGGTCCTGAACTCTCAAAGAAAGCAAGGTCAGACAAGATCACGGCGGGTACATCTGGAGTACTGTTTGAGGACGTGGAGGTGAGGGCATATTTCTGAGCCTGGCATGAAAGGAAGCTGTCGGGTCACGACCACAAGACAAAGCTCTTGGCAGAAGTGGGAGGCACTAGAGGAGGGGACGCGCCCTCACGTCCGCGGAGAATAAATAACACTGCAGAGTGAACAGGCACAGGCAGGTGATAGCGACGGCCCGTACCAGGCCTGGCACCATGGGAGCCAAGGCGATACCGGCCATTTCTTTAAAATTAAAAAAAAAAAAGTAAAAGCAAACAGAAACCTGTATCAGAGCAGACAAGAACAAAGTCACCTCAAGGTCGCCCACAGTACTACCCATAGGGCTCATTTACCCTACAGCATCTCGGAGCCACCTACTAACTAAACAGTCCCAACCTTTTTAAGTGCCTCAAACAAATACCCGTAAATGCTCGCCTGCACCAGCAGGGAGGCCAGACCAAGCCACTGCTGCAAGGGCCAATTCCAGTGCACAGCCCCAAACACTCACCTGTCATGTGTTTTAAAAAATGCTTTCCTCGGGCCCATGAGGACGATGACGTGTGGGCCATGATGCACCGGTCACATGCCACCAGAGGCCTGCGACTCCACACTCTTCCTCTCCTACCTCTGCTCGATCCCTGGCCCCTGGCCAGCCAGACCCCAAGGTGACCTTGAACTTTAGCCCCATACACACACTGCACCTGCTACCTCTGGACGGCAGGGGACGCAAGCCACCACTCACACTAGCAGTGTACGGAGCTGGGGACACCATCATGCTGGACTATTCCTGTACCTGTCCGCTGGGCCACCTGGTCCATCTGACAGCCCACCTGGATCATCAGAGCCCTCAAAAGAGCTAGGGGCTCAGATTGATGTTGAGGTAAAAGTGTCCATGACCAAGAGCCACATAAGACCCTATGCTACCAGGGACCCCACAGACCCCACTGGAAAGGAAAGAACTCTGCTGGGCCTTAGTGCTGGGCCGTAGAGCCACCCCCGCCACCCAGAAGGGCCCAGCAATACAACCCAGCTCCCCCCTGGGTTTCAGTGCCTGCCCAGGGTCCTGAAGGGGGCACTGTGCAACCAGCATCTCCAGGGACCTAGGTGATGTGGTTGTCAAATGCAAAGTCAGAGGAGCCTAAAGCATCGTGAACAAGAGAACACACACACTCAAAGTTTGCAGATCAGCTCAGAGTTTTCCAAAGCTACTTTGAGGGGTAGGGGACAGGAGATAGGACCCCTGTGCCTCCCACAACTCACCCCCACCCCACCTGTGAGGGCCAGGCCTAGCCACCAGGATCTCTTCCTTCCCTGGACTCTGCCCTTCCCAGCCCTGACCTTGGTCCAGCATTTTGGAGACTGTGAAACCCCAGAAGGAATCTGGATTTGCACTCCCACTTTCCGCCCAGCAGGGGTCCCTGCCAGAAATACCACGGGAACTTGGCTGTGTGGGGCCCATGAGGAACGGTGCTTTTGTGGTGCTCCTAGTCCCCGAAAGGCCCCCAGACCCAGGCTCAGCAACCCTCGTGGCCTGAGTGGGACACCTCTGGACACTGCACTGACAGCTTCTGAGACACCGGCCCCTCTGGCCTTTCCTGACCCACAAGGGCTCTTGCTCTCCTGGGACAGGCAGGACCTCGTGTCCCTGAAACCTGCATGGGAGCCCTCGTGAGGCAGGGCAGGAGGCGTGGCATGTGTGCGATGTGTGAGGCTACTGGGACAGAAGGGAGCCCCAGAGCAGAGCCACACCCACTTGGCGGCAATGTTAGCATCTCCAAGGTGGCAGGGACGCAGGATGTTTTAAGGCATGAGCTTCTGAAAGACACATTTCTGGGAGGAGCGCACTCCAGCCTAGAGCTGACGGCGTCCACGAGGCCATTGATGTTTTCCGAGCCGAGTCATGCGGGCTACAGGATAAAATGACCCTGGGAAATGTGACATTCGGATGCTCTCTCCGACCCACAGAGCCTCCTGCCTGGGCAGCGGCCCTGCGCCTGGCTTTATAAATAGATTGAACACAAGATAAATGGCTGTGATCAATCATGCTCACCTCCCATCCGAAGTTGGCCTCCTTCAGCACGGCCCGGGGCGCCAGCACGTAGGGGCCGAACCTCTCCCCAACTTCCATCTTCCGCTTGGCCCAGATCCCCAGGCCCGCCCCAGGGATGGAGGACTCGCGCAGCTCCAAGTCTGGCGGGACAGGAATGTCTTCAGGAATGTAGACAGGGGCCTCATAGGGCGAGCCTTCCTTGGGGGTGAAGTCCTCACTGGTGGGGAAGGGGGACGGTGGCCCCATGGGGATGGGGGACAGGATGCTGTCCTCAGTCTCTTCCTCAGCACTCTGGCTGGCCAGCAGGTCCGGGTCGGGCTCATACATATTATTTACAACGTCTCCGTCACCTAAACAAGATAAAGCAGTGTCAGTGTCTGCAGCACACAAACCCAGGGACTGGGCCCTCCTGGGATCCGGACACCAACACACAGGCAGGCCTGGCCACCATGCCTGCCCAGCAGATGCTGCCTCTGTGCCACCCTGACCAAGAAGCCAGCCCAGGATGCCAGAGGCTCCAGGACAGAGCCACCAGGCTCCTTGGGGACCAATGTTGTCACCGGGCAGCACCAGGGTGTGTCAGTCACTGTAATACCATGCGGGTCTTGTCTGTGGCCTTGGAAAATGGGGAACTGGGAAATACGGGCTTCTCTCCAACTCCTGCCCCAGCATGGCTCCTCCGGACACCCCACTGGGGTTGGCTGGGCCCTTGCTCGAGCCCCAGCAGTACCTGATGAGTCAGGATAGGTAAAAAGCAGGCTTTCTGGGATCCTGTTCCTGGGACTCACGGGGCTGCGGCCACAGGACAGCATAAGGGACAGGGTCCCCAGTCTGTCTGACTCTTCTCTGGGTGGAGGTTGGGTATCCCTGGAGTACACAAAGGGTAGACTGAGGCATGAAAGGCAGGAGGAAAGCTGGAGGGATGGGGGGCAGGGCTCAGATGGAAGGAAGGAAGCAGCCCTGTCCAGTACCTGCCCAAAGCACCCAAAGGGGTCCTCGGCAGTGGCTGTGGGAGCGGCCCAGCACCAGGAACCACCCGAGTGTCCACCAGCCGCCGAGCAGATGAACTAACGTGATCCAGGGGCAGGCGAGGCCACTCTGCGTCAGGGGATAAAGCACCTCGTGCTGCCATGGGGACAACCTTGGGGGTGTCAGGTAGCAATGGAGGAGTTTAAAATCCTCTCACAGCCATTCTCAAATGTGCATCACCAATGATGGCAGCACACAGGGGAGCCAGAGCCTGCTCCTGGCTCTGTGCCCCACCCTCCTGAAGTGTTGCTAGGCCGACCCCTGGAGCCTACTCCCCAGCTTGTGTGCACAGGGAAACATTGCACTGCAGCTCACAAACATACGCTCATCTGCTCAATAAAATAAAGACACTCTAGGCAAAGCGCGAGAAGCAGACCTGAGGAGACCAATACTGAATGAGCCCACACCAGCGTGGCCTCCACAACCAGCAAGTCCACAGAGACAGGACCCAGCTGGAGGTCACTGGGGATGGGAGTGTGGCTGCTGGTCGGCAGTGGGCTCTGCGTGGCTAGGGGCTTGGAGCAGGATAGAGCCAAGGCTGCATGAGAAAGCACTTGTGCTCAAGGCCACTGAAGTACTCTCTTTAAAATGGTGACTTCGTAGGTCACGTGAACTTCACTGCCCAAACGACAGCCAGGAGGGCATGCGGAGCCATGGAAGGCTTGTTTCTGCCCACACTGGCTGCCCTGGTCCAGACCGGTCTGCCCAGGCCTCTGCCTGAAGCCAGTCTGCAACCTGCAGCAGGGATCCTCGGGTGATGGCCAGTCACCTCCATGCTCCCTGGCTTTGGCCAGTGAAAGACAAGCCTTGGGGGAGACAAGAACTTCAGAGTACAAGAAAAATGATTTCAGATTCCTCACGCTGGTTGCAAACAGATCTGCTCGAGAAGTCACAAAATGTTTTCTTTCAAAAGAAACCAAAGTCTCGGGGAAAAAAAAATCATGCGGATAACACTTATTTAATTTAGCAGCATTCACAGAAGTAATGATTATGTTTTAAGTGGCCAACGGTTCTTTTTTAATTGGCTGGTGGGCTCCTTTCAGAGACGCAGCGACAGAACTGCCGCCCGGTGCCTCCGCCCCGAAGCCTGAGTTGTTTAGGTCTGAAAGCACACCCCGTACGCCTTCCTGTCGACTGTGTGCAGCAGAAAGGTAAATTAGGAGGGGGGTAATTAGCATGCCACCTTATTATTTGGAACTGGTAACTGCGCAGAGCGCTGGAAGCCCCGCTTCCCCACAAGTGCTCTTAACTCCTTCGGGGCGTGGCTGCCTCTGCCCCCAGACAGCAGCAGGGCCACAATCCGCGGGGTGTCTGCTGGAGCCTGGGGACAGTCCTGGGCGAGTGCCTGTTCACCTTGGGGCTCTTTAAACGAATTTCTTTTCCTGTTTGAATTTTACTTCCCTAAATCCTCACCTACCAGTGAAAAATCGACGCTTTATGGGTTTGTTTAGTTCCCCGGCCAAACAAGCAGCGCAGAATGGCAGCGCTTCCTGCTGATTAAAGGGGGTTCTGTGTTTGTATCAGCCTGGCCTCCTGTCCCCGGCGGTCACTGGGGTTAAGTGATTGCCTGCAGCCGCCAGGAAAACCCAGGTCTCCATTTCAAGCCCCTAGCCGGGGAGAGAGCTCCTCTTTCAAAGGTGGATGAGAGGAGGCCTAATTAGTGTGCAGAAAACATTCTGAGAGCACAAGGTGGATGGAAAGGCCCTGAAGGCCGCACAGAAATGCCAGGGCCCTGGGGGAGTGGGCCCCCACTGCTCAGTTCTCTGGGGTCGTCAGGGCAACCAGACACAGTGGGTTTAAGGATCAACTCCTGCCAGGACAACTCTGAGCTGGTCAGGCCCGCCGGGTTCCCAGGCCCTCACATTTTTTGGCTGGTGCTGTCTCAGAGGGTGGAGCATGAGCTCCTTGTGCCTTAGGAAATCCAGGCCCTGCTGCTGTTGGCCATCGACCTGCTGGGAGGCCTATCTGAGTTTTGCTGTGGTCTCAGGCTAAGGGTTCGAGACTGGGACCATCATTACTAACTCTGCTTTTGGGAAATCACTAAAATAAAGTGTGGGAAGTAAAGGAACAGTGGGAGGAGGGGACTGCCTGATGGGTCAGCCAGCTAGCACCTGGAAGGCCACTGTGGGAGCCCCCAGCTCTGACTGTGGGAGCCCCCAGCTCTGGGTGCATCTGTCGATAGTGAATCCCAGGCCGAGACCGTATGACTCACACCAGTCAGCAGGAGCCATCGACATGTGACCCTACCACCGGGTCATGGCTGGGGGGTCCAGCGAGTGAAGAGAGGTGGCCAAGGGCAAGAGCAGTGTGCAGGGGCAGGTGCTGGAAAGTGGGAGCGAAGGGCAGCTGCTGAGCCTCAGTCGGCCTCACGCTGGGGCAGGTGGGCAGGTGGTTAGAGGAGGGCGGCGATGGGGCTGCTCCGTGTCCATTTGGGCCGGGACTCGCAGACCCACAGGCGCAAGGCTAAGCACAGGCGGGAGCCCCTGAGGGGCAGGCTGAGCACCCTGCCCGGAAGTGCCCTGGGCCTCCCAGAACGCCCAGTGAAGGAGCAACAAAGGGCACCCGAGCTTCCTGCCCAGTCTCGCCATGGCGCGCACCCCACCCCATGTCTCAGTTACACCTCAGTGCCAAGCACAGCCACCCCCAAGACAGCTGCTCCTCATCCTGCTTGTGCACGGCTCAGCTGTGAGGCCCGGCTCTGCCAGGGCACAGGGGGACAGACAGATGCTCCTGCCTCGTCTCAAGTGAAATAGAAACCAGTGCCACAAAGGAGGACCCATGGGGCGGGGGAGCTCTGACACACTCACACTCACACTCAGGGGCATGGGGAAGCCATTTGCTACACCGATACCTGAAATTGCAGGTTTTAGAAAACCCAAGGCTGAAGCATTAGAGGAAACAGAAAATCCCAAGGTGGGGTTGGGGTGCCGAGAAGGGAGGCACTGGGAAAGCCGGGGTGGCGGGGAGGTGCCCTGGCCTCTCGAGTGGTCCGGCTCAGCCGTTCTCTCCTGGTTTGGGAACCTGCTCTGGGACCAAGAGTGTTCCTGCTTATCACCATCATCTTCCTCACCTCCCAGGAGGCTGCACCAGGCAGAGCTGCAACAGGCGAGGCTGTCAAGTTGCCTGGGACCAAGTGCCCAGTCCTGATTGTGGGCACCCGAGGAGGCCTTTGCCGTCCCTCCCACCCCTGGAATCTCACAAGACACCCTTCAACCCCTCCAACTGCAAGACACCCGGCTGTCAGGCTGGTGCTGCTACAGGATGACATTGCAATAGGCTGAAAATCCAAATTCCCTGGGGCTGCTTCCCTGGGATTCTGGGCACAGAGGCATATGCATCTCCACATGAACTGTCACCTGCCCATGGGAAAGAAGGGAAGGCACTGGGTGGGACCAAAGGCCATACTTCCCTGTGCACCCAATCCGGAGCTTCCGGGCTGACCCCTCTGTACTCCTGATACCCCAGGGCGGGTAACCATGCAGCAAGCCAGTCAGTGTCTGGGGTATGGAGAGGCCTGGGGACAGATGAGAGGACAGGCAGAACTTGCTGGGCCCAGGTGCCCTCCCCACCCTCTCCCAGGTCACAGAGCCAGCCCTGGAAGGGGCTAGTGTGCACTTCCTGTCTTCTCACAGCTGGGGAAAGAGAGGCACTGGGAGTAAGACAGGTTCTAGGAGAGAGGGACAGAACAGGCTGCATCCACCATTCCTTACCCAGGCACCGTCCCTGCCCTACCCATGCAGCTGCCTGATACTGCCAGGTATCTGTTGCACTGCAGTCACAGCACAGTCAGGACTGCAGAGAACGCACAGTGAAGAGAGCACCTGGGCACCTTCAGGAGAACCCATCCAGTACCAGCTGGGCTCCCCTGTGCACCCCACCAGACGAGGCCCACACCCCGTGCCTCTCCTCTCCTGGAAGAAGCTCCCCTCCAGCCAGAAGCCAGCTGACTGGCAGCATTGTCTACAGGAACCTTTCTAGCTCAGTCACACACCCATCCCCATCCTTTAGGGTTAGAGAGAGAAGTGGGTGCCTTGTCCACAGAGGGACAGTGTCACAAGGAGGGCATGAGGGGAACAAGGCAGCCTGACCTGCTCCCCAACTGTGACAGACCATGCGACCATTGTCCCAAGCCTGAGGGTCAACAGCAAACTATCCTCATCTGATTGCACTCAGACCCTAAGCAGGCATCATGGGAGGAGAAAACATCAGAAAGCAGAAGAAAAGAGGCGTGGTGCAGCCCCCAACACTTGGAGAGCAGGGGACTTGGGTGGCTGCTGGGATATTGGGAAGTGGGTTTGCAGGAGGACCTCACTGGTGACAG